TATGTACTTCCTGATGCCCCTTGTCAGCATCTGGCTCCATCATGGTGTCATGAGGGAACGGGACCCCTCCACACAGAGGAGCAGGGGTCCCTCGCCACTCTTGACGGGCTGGCCCTGGTTCCCCTTTAAACTGACGGCTTCACAGGAGTTACTCCACCCCATTTCTTGTGCACCAAAATGCCATGGACACGGGCACCTCCCTGGTGACAGAGAGCTCATCGGTGGTTGCCAGGGCCCGGGCAGAGAAACACGGTGACTGGTTATAGCTACGGAGCTTCCTTAGGGGGTGGAAATGCTCTGGATCCCAATGCAGTTCTGGTTGTACACATTGTACATGTAGTAAAGCCACAGAGTTTCAGTCCCTCTGAAATGGCTAAAATGGTCCATTACCTGTCGCATGCACTTTACATGAATTGTTTTTAGATGCAACAGGACAGAATCAGACATGGGTAGCATCGCTGACCAGGGTACCACTTCCAGGTGTAAAATAAGTAAGTCCCAGGATGTACTGTACAGGATGGGATCACAGTTCATAACACTCTATTGCATATTTGAAAGTTCCTAGGGAGGAGCTCTTAAAAGTTCTTATCACAAAAAGCACAGACCAGGCTGGAGTTCTGAACCTGGGGCAAAATTTAAAATCTGCTCAGGGCCTTGCCTTTTTCTGTAACACAGCTTCGGTCACCAGGATACACACTGAGGACCCTTCCTCCACTAGCTGAGATCCTCCCAGAACCTCCAGGGTGGAATCAAAAGCAGCTGTTGGCCTCCTCGGGGTCTGGAAAAACCACCCTGGTGAGATCCTTAAGTGTGGGCTGCTGAGAAACTTCAGAAGACGCGGGCCCAGACTCTCCTCCACCAGCTCCGCAAGGTTCCTGCCCTCCCCCCGGCCCTGCAAGCCAGCACATAGTCGCCTCTTCCCCGGCTCCTGTCTCTCCACTCCGTGCTTGCTTTGTGCTGTCTCCTGTCACAGCCTAGGAGGAGTGCTGGCTTTGTGTTGGTTGCTTGGCTCGTGTCTCCTAGTGCCTTGGTGGCCTTAGGTGTGGTCAGCCTGGCTGTGGGCCCTGTGTCCACCCCCTTCCTGGCCTGCACTTGCCGGTGTCCCAGCAATAGTAAGGACAGGCCTCACCAAAATCATGGTCAAAGATCCAAAAGTCCAAACCACAAATGTCAAATTGCAGATGGTGTGTTCTACTTGAGGGGCTGTGAAGGGATCAGCCCTTGAAGACTCACCAAGACAGTGAGCTTGGTCGAGCACAGCTTTCAGATTGTATAGATCAATATTGGCCCCAGGATGGGATCTTCCCCTTAGACTTTCTTCTTAGAATGCTGGGCATACCCAGTGACTCAAGACAGAGAGAGAGAGACAAAGAAATCTATTTAGATCTGTTACCTAGAAATTTCATAGGTCCTCAGGGGTAATGAAGATTATGCCCCAGGAGCCCCGGAGTTACCCTGAACCAGTCGCACAAGTGATGCATGGTTCCTGGGGAGAGAGAAATGTTATTTGCTACTCACCCCTCACCCCTCAGAAGTCGTGTCTCCATTCATCTTCCTTCTCACCGATTTTCCCTAACTTGAAGATTCTGCAAGTAGATTCTTGACAAAATGTGGCCCAGGGTGGCGGGATTATCCACAGGTGTCACTGTGTGTGGCAGCATCCTTCAGCCACTGCTTAGGGAGACTTGGGACTTGGGGCCTGGTGACAGAAGGTTCTGTCAGGAGGATGTGCCCTTTG